TTGCAGTGCTCCTGTAAATTATTCTACTAAAGTCCAAAACACACTGTAGAAATAATCCAGTTTGAGACTGCTTTAATTGCCCTGGCTCAATGCTAGGGAATTCTGGGAACTATCGTTTTGTGACACATTGAGCCTTCTCTGTCAGAGAGCTCTGGTGCTGCAATAAACTACAATTCCCAGGACTCCCTAGCATTAAGCCAGGGCAGTTAAAGTGGCCTCAAACTGGGTTATTTCTACAGTGTGTTTTGGACCTATGGACTGTATATGGTTTTTCTATGCAAACCCCCACCCTAACATTCAATTTTGCAATATACTCAGTTTTCTGTACCCAAAAGTGGGCTTTGTGCAGAAAAACCTTGTGTGTTTCTGCAGAGAATCCAGAGCATTTTGCAAGGTATGAATACTGGGAGAATCCTGTGCAGAAATTGTCATCCCTCCCACAGCAAGGAGAAAACTACAATACAGGAATTATTTGCCCTTGCATGCAAGGATGATGCAGGCAAAGATTTACACTTCTAACATAGATATACCATTATGGCTAAGATAATCTCCCTATCTGTAACCAACATTTTACCTTCTTTTGTTATCAGCCCAGAATCTCAAGGTCAGGATGGGAGAAACATTCAGAAAAATCAGCAGGCGAACACCAAGTCTAGCTGTTCATAAAAGCATCCTATTTATCTGGGAGATCCAATCTCTCACTTGTCAAATGCGGACCATCTGTGGGTTTGCAGTGCACCAAATGGGAGAGATTCTCCTGATTCTTTCCCACAAAGTACAGATGTTAGGGCAAAAAAGCTTGGCTCTTAAATGGACCCCCAAATGGTGCGTTTCCATTTCTTAGCACCATTTAGAGCCAAACACATAACTGAAGACATTTGCAGCCTTGCTTAGAATTGGATTATATGGCCAACGATATTATTGTTGTGTTAACTTACGCTGCCTCGAAGTGTGGCGGAGTCTCCTTCTTTGGAGGTTTTTAAACAGGGCTTGGATGGCCATCGGTTGGGAATGCTTTGATTGTGTCTTCCTACATGGTGGAATTGGGTTGGACTGTAGTTTGGGGTCTTTTCCAAATCTATGATTCTAGGAGCTTTAATCAATATTATATGCCCAGGGAGCTTTAACACTAGACCTCAAGATCACCCAGTGAAATTGACTGGTTCAGTTTCACAGGTTCAGGACAGAAAGAACAAAGTCCTTTCCCACACCACTCCGTAAAATGTTACGCACCACAAAAATGTTAGAATCACCGAGAGCAAAAAGGTTCAGAATGGGTAAGAATTACTTTTTCAGTTCATTATTGCGTAAGAATGTACAAAAATGTGAACATCTCTAGGCATCTGAAATGGAACAAGCGTAGATTTTAATTGAGAAAACGGAGAGAGAGATTCACCTGTCAAGGTTGTGCTTCTTAACTGCTTAAATCTTAAATTTCTTTGTACTCAACCACATCAGATGGTTGCCATGTCACAAGACATCAGATGGTTGCCACCTCTTCACTAGGGATGTGATTCTTCACTAATTTCATTCTTGAAGGAAGCAACGAGTAACTGTACCAATTCGTATAAAAAATATGACTAAGGATTCTGTATGGTGTGGTATGGGAGGAGGTCGATGTGGGGTGACACCATGAGTTACTGCACCGGGTGATACCAACCCTAGTGATGCTACTGGTGTCACCCAGTGCGAACCACACACCCCAATTCCCTAGTGATGCCACTGCCCCTCAGAAGTGGCTCCCTGGCTAGAGTCTGGTGTGGCTGCTAACCGTGCCAGGCTCCAAACCGTCCCTTCGGAGGCACAGTGGTTAAATACCTGTCCTGCAGCCACTCACTCATAGACCACAAGGTTGCGAGTTAAAAACTAGCCAGGGCTGAGGCTAGACTCAGGCCTGCATCCTTCCGAGGTCACTAAAACGAGTACCCAACTGTTGGGGGGCAATGAGCTTACAGTTGTAAACCGCTTAGACATCCCATAGCACGATATGAAGGGGTATATAAATGAAGCTGCTTTGCTACAGTGGTTTGGCCAGAGGCCGGCCAGCCGAGCAGAGGGGGGTACAAGCGAATGAGGCTGTGAGAAGGAGAAAGAAAGGAGCAGTGCACACACATATACACCACAGTCCTCTCCGGGACCCAACCTCCATGATATCACTACCCTCTCCCACATCTTTAGTACTCTTTTGCTGGGGTTAGGGATGAAGGAGCCCCATGAAGGTGGAAAAACTGCAAATAAAATACCCCACTATTCTTTTTACCTAAGAGAACACCTCTCTAGGAATCTCTAAGGGCCTTTGACAGACCAACCCAAAGGGCCAGCCTGGAGGTAGAGTTGGGGGACACCGTCCTGACGCAGCGTTCTGACACCCTGCGCTGAAAAGGGCAAGGAAGAGCTGCACGCCGGCTCTTAGGGTGGCCTTTTGCTGCCCCTAAAAGGAATGGCATTTTCCACTCTTTTCGGGGGGGCAAAAGGGAGGATAGGGGCTGTGGTGTGGGGTTGCCACAGCCCTGATCTGCCGCTTCCTGGGGCGGCCCAGAGCCGCCTGTCTGCAGAGGCCCTAAGTCTTCCAGTGCAATTCTGCGATCAGCATCTGGCAGAAGTTGATCATCGAATCATGCTGGAGAATGTACAAGCGCCTAGAGAAGTGTTTTCTCTAGGAACATCAAAGCTCTTCAGCACAACTCTTTGGTCAATGTCTGGCAGAGTTGCGCAGGAGGACCTCGAGATTCCTAGAGGGAACATACTAATCAAAACCGCAAATAATCAAATCCGCAAAAGTCCAAGCTGCAAACGTGTATATTCAATTATCTGTATTGCCTACATTTTGTTTTGTTTTCCATTACGTCTCCCTGTATGGGTGCGTGGTTATTTTTTCATTGTATTTTAATATAGTATTTTGGTATTGTGTATTATAGTTATTTTTGCAAGTTATTTTTCTTTTGCACAAAGACTCCTCCTACTGGACAATTTTGAGAACTAAAACAGAGCATGCCTCCAATCTAGGGAGTTCATCCCATGGGGGCAAATTGCAAAAAACCTATGTGGAAATGGGATTTAAAAACCGGGGAAAAACTTGCAAAAGTGGGTAGTTTTTCATACACAACAGGGTTCTGTTAACTCGAACAGAAAGTAGACAATACCCATCCCTTTTTACTTTTGGGGTTTTCTGAAAGTAAAAAAGGAGCAAGTTTTGTCTAGTTTCTGTACTGGTTAATGTTGCATTAATTCTCATTAACGCTAATGTCATCTGAAAAACAACCCGCTTTTGCAGGTTTTTTCTACTTTCAGGTTAACCGCAAACTTTGTCTGAAAAACTACCTGCTTTTGCGAGTTTTCCTCCGGTATAAATCCAGTTTCTTCACAGGATCTGTCCCGTGTGGTAAACTCCTAGGTCTTTTCAATGGCCTTTCTCTTAAGAACAGGACCTGTCTTTGTTGCTGTGTGTCTTCAAGTTGTCACCGACTTATGGCAACCCTGAGCAAATCTATCCTTTTCTTGGGAAGATTTGTTTAGAGCAGGGGTTGGCAACCTATGGAGGTGCGGCGGCAACATGTGTGGCAGCAGGGGCCGCGTGCGTGTGCGCATGAGTGCGCACACCACCATTTCCCCCCTGCCGGAAGACCTGGGGACCAGTGACTGGCCCCAGGTAAGCTAACATTGCCGACCCCTGATTTAGAGGGAGGGTTTCCGTTTCCCTTCCTCCAAGGCTGAGAGTATGTGACTTGCCCAAGATCACCCAGAGGGTTTCCATGGCCAAGCGGAGATTTGAACTCTGGTCTCCAGAGTCATAGTCCCACATTCAAATCACTATACCACACTGGTTCTCCATTGTTGTTGTTGTTGTTGTTGTTATTGTTGTTGCATGCCTTTGAGTTGTTTCAGACTCTATCACCAGGGTTTTTTGGCAAAGTTTCTGCAGAGCAGATTTACCTTTGCCTTCCTCTGAGGCTGGGAAAATGTGACTTGGCCAAAGTCACCCAGTGGGTTTCCAAGACCGAGTGGGGAGTCAAGACTCCCAGACTCCTAATCCAATCCACAAGACGCTTGCTCTTGCCCTACCATAAAAAACAAAAATCATTTTATTTTGACATACTTCTAGACAACTGCAATTTTTAATTGCTTGGGAAAGTCTCCATTCTTGCATTTCCATCCTTTAAATTGCTAGGGAGGGCAACTTGCTAGATGCTGAGCTAAACTGTCGCTGACAATGTAATTCACAGACGGTTCCTTTTCCCTTTCTTCCTCTGAAGGAAATCCAATTTCCCCTTGTCTTCTCAATGACAAGGCTACTTATCAGTGAACTGTATGTTTGCAGGGAGTCCTCTGTCTTTCGCTCCTAACCATGCTTTTGGCAGGTTGTCTCTCTCTTAAACATTTCAAAGACCCCTTGCTACTTATTAGGAGAAAGGCAGGAATAATACTAATACTAATAATAACAATGCTAATGCTGATGCTAATAATAATTCCCGTCTTTCTCCGAATCATCATCATCATCATCATCCTTATTATTATCATTGGTATCATTATTATTGATTATCCCTTATCCAGAATTTTAAAATCCGAAGTGCTCCAAAATCCAAAACTTTTGGACCCATAACGCAAGTAGCATAGCATGTATCTATACTGTATTTACAAGGCTAGAGAGAAACACGGCTGGAGAGAGACACAAAGATCTGCGAAATGGTGGGAACCCATGCCTCCCCTGATTTCACAGCTCTCCAGCCTCATTATACCTCATTACATATATTCAAATACAGGCATTCCAAAATCCTAAAAAAATCCCAAATTGGGAACACTTCTGATCCCAAGCATTTCAGATAAAGGGTTGTTGCTGTTGTTGTTGTTGTGCACCTTTTGAGTTGTTTCTTACTTATGGTGACTCTAAGGTGAACCTATCATGTGCTTTCTTGGCAAGGTTTGTTCAGAGGATGTTTGCCTTTGCCATCCTCTGAGGCTGAGAGAGTGTGACTTGCCCAAGGTCACCCAGTGGGTTTCATGGCCAAGCTGGGAATCGAACCCTGGTCTCCAGAGTTGTAGTCCGACACTCAAATCATTACACCATGCTGGCTAGATACTCAACCTATATTATTATCAGTATTTTAAATGGTTTCATTATTATTGAGCACTCTCTCTGTTGTACACCGTAACATTTTTAATGGGCTGGACAGGGGCACTTACTTGGAAAGGGAGGTGGGCTATACACTGTCCACTAGTCATTCAGCGCAATGCACAGCTTGCTTCAGCCACAAAAATGTGCACCAACATTTGGGGAAATTTACTTTTTGTGACTGCAAGTCCCAGAATCCCCACTAGTAATGGTGCCTGGAGTTGCAGTGACCTAACCTACCAAATATTCTTTATGAACAGACTGTAGCATCCCCCTTTGTCTTTTCATAGATGAACATCAGGACGCATGTGGCTAAAGAAGATCAGAGCATGGTGAAGACAGGAAAGATTATTAATGAAGAAGGAGTGAGACACTAGGAGAGCCTGCAGCAGTTTGCTTTTGCCAGTGCCTACTGGGAAGGGCAGGATTCTGCCTTCCTCTTCTCCGCTTCCCCCACCTGAGTTTAACTGAATGGGTAACCAGCATGATGTAGTGGCTTGAGCATTGTACTAAGTCTTACAAACTTCAAATCCCTGTTCAGCCATGAAACCCACTGAGTGACCTTGGGCAAGTCACACTCTCTCAGCCTCAGAGGATGGCAATGGCAAACCCCCTCTGAAGAAACTTGCCAAGAAAAGCCTGTGGTCAGTTGGCTTTAAGGTTGCCATAAGTCGGAAACTACTTGAAGGCCCACAACAACAAACTATGACTGATATCACACTACACTGTTATAGTGCTATTATTTCACATTAACTGCAATGACTGTCTCCTGTGGAATTCTGGGATTTTTGGTTTAGTGATGCCTCTCTGGCTGAGAATTCTCAGTGCCTCTCCCCTAAACTGCAGATCCCAGGATTCCACAGGAGGCAGCCACAGCAGTTAAAGCAGAATAATGATGCCATAACAGTGTAGTGTTTGCAGACTGATGTCTCTTTGCAGCAACTGAAGTGCGCCAAGGACAAAGGGGGTAAAATGGGAGGAGGAGAAAGAAACTGGGACACTTTAATAGAAGTTGAAAAAGTGGGAGGACAGAGGAGCAATTGGGACTGTCCCTGCCAAAATGGTATGCTGTACAGAGCCCTCTTCCCAAAAGTCTCTACCATCTCCCCAGCTGTAACCCATTTCCATTTTGTTTCCCCTTGGAGGAAACCTTGTCCCAACCTTGGAGCCCTCCAGCTTTGTGGGACTACGCTTCCTATCATCCCCAGCCAGCTTTGGCCAAAGGCATGGGTCCAACACTTCTAGAGGCCACCCCATGGAGGAAGGCTTTGCTGGGCGGTTTGGCAGCCGACGTTATTTAATTCATTTTCATTTATTTTTGGTATCACTCAGCCACAGACAAGTGTGCTGACCTATGTTGCCTCTGCTTCTCCCTTCATCAGGAGAGAGGAAATTGGACAAGAAGAGCCGCAAAAGAGGTTACCTACCTCCTTTCCACTTCAGATCCTCTTATTTCCCCAGAGATGGAAAGACAAGCACATCCATAGCCTCTTCTATTGCGCTGCGCATGATGCTCCTTTGTTTGCTGAGCTCGAGCCAAGCCTCATCGGCTCTTCTTTGCTGGCGGAAATAGCTGTCTTCTATTGCTTCTCTGAAAAAAGAAATTAGCTCTGTGTGTGAGAGAGAATTCTTTTCCCTTAATCCCTAGGCTTCGTTATTTCCAAATAAATGTATTTTGCATTCTGCTGGCATAGACATGTAAACCCTTCGTCCCTGCATTGCATCTGGGGGCATGTCCTGTTTTCAGACTAGCACAAACTAGCCGCCCTGAGTCCCTATACCAGGACTCATATATATCATATATATACCGGTATATATATATGAGTCCTGGTATAGGACTCATCATCATCATCATCATCATTACAGCAGCAACAAAAACAACAACCATAGCTCAGAGGGCAGAGCATGCAAAAGATCTCGCTTTTGGCTTTTGCTCCCAGAATCGCACAGAAAAGGGACAAAAGCTGTGCAAGAGTCTGACTCTGCAACAGTCACTCCAAAGCAGCCTGCAGCAATGGAAACCAGGAACACACAGGCTTTTTAAAGCAACAATATCAACAACAACAACAACGCAGGGAAGTACAGGGGTTCAGGCCGCACCAGGTGACACCCAAAGTGGGGGTGAAACCATTGCTCTCCAAACCTCTGTCTTTGGGTGGAAATGGGCTGTGACGCTTGCCTGCCTCCCTTTAAATGGTGGAGATGGGGTGAGGATCATTGAGAGGAGAAAGGAGAGGACCTAGGGTGTTTTTAATTTTTTAAATTTTTTAAAATAATTTTATTTTAAAAAATTATTTTAAAAAATATTTTAACCTTTTTTTGAAAAAATTAAAATGTTTTTTTTAATTTTTAAACTAAATTTTATTTTTAAAAAAATATATTAAATTTTTAAAATTCTTTTAATTAAAAAAAAAAGCCATCACATCTTACCAAATTGTCATGTGAATACATTTAGTGGTGCCAGCGTGGCATAGTGGTTTGTGTTGAACTACGACTCTGGAAACCAAGGTTCAATCCCCAGTTTGGCCATGAATCCCACTTGATGATTTTGGGCAAGTCACATGCTCTCAGCCTCAGGGGAAGGCAATGGCAAACCTCCTCTGAACAAATTCTGTCAACAAAACCCCATGATAGGTTTGCCTTAGGATCACCATAAGTTTGAAACAACTTGAATGTACACAACAACAATAAATACGGTGAGTCCTTGTTATCTTCTGGGGTTTGGTTCCAGGATCCCTTGTGGATAACAAAATCTGTGGATGTTCAAGTCCCATTAAATATAATGGCATGGTAAAATGGTGTCCCTTATTTAAAATGGAAAATCAAAGTTTGCTATCTGGAATTTATACTTTTTAAAAATACACTTGTCCCTCCCCGTTTGTGGACTTGAGGTCCGCGGTCTTGCTCTTCGTGGGGTCAACTGCTATACCTAAAATGGCCATTAGTTTCAATGGGGTTTGAATATTAGCAAGCCTCCATTAGTTTCAACGGGGTTCGAATATTAGCAAGCCTTCATTTTCACGGGGGGTCTGGAACGGATCCCCGCGAATTGGGAGGGGCAACTGTATTTTGAAACCGTGGATGCTTGAATCCGTGGATTAAAAAAAAATCTGTGGATAAGGAGGGCTGACTATATATTTATGCTGTGCATATGATATTGCAATTTAAAGGTATACCTAATTTTGCTAATTGTGTATCTCACAACTGTTACCATTACACTTAGTGATATATGGGAATTACGATTTATGAGTAACATAAGAACATGCCTAAGGATTCTGCATAGTGTTGCATGGGAGAAAGTCAATGATGGGGGTGACACCATGAGTTTTTGCACCAGGTGACACCAACCCTAGTGATGCTATTGCAACAAGGCCTTTCCTTTCCAGGGTGGTGCTCTCACCCTGAGATTCCTCTCCTTGCACTGAGACCCACAGAAGTGGGGCCAGACCCCAACGTCTGTGAATCCTACCCTCCACTTTTCTTTGGTAGGCCATGACTATCATTTTCATCAGTGCTGCCCCATCCATAAATAATTCTATGGGATTCTGGGACCTTTGGGGGAAGTTCCCATGCCATGCTGGTTGCAGGATTCTGAGTCCTGTAGGACAAAAAGTAACTTATTTCAGCACTGCACAGCAACAAGATCACTTGCGTTTTGGAGACAGTTAGTCTGGAATATCAGTATGCAAAGGTATCTTACAGCACCTTTGACACTAATTGTGCAAAAGGCTTTTGTAAACCACGTCTACTTCCTCAGATACATGAAGGAGATGCGCTGTTACAAAATCCCTTTGCATAACAATGACAACAGTTTTTGTTCTAATCTGCATTATGAGTTTGAATCCCACACTGGGAGAAAGGCATGACACAAATTAATTAATACATTCAGTACTGTTGTTGTTGTGTGCCTCCCTTTTAATATATAATATATTAATAATATATATAAAACACAATAATACAATACAATACAATACAATACAGTATAATAATATAATATAATATAATATAATATAATATAATAATATATGTTGTTCTTGTTGTAGTGTGCCTTTAAGTTGTTTCTGACTTATGGCGACCCTGAGGTGATCTTATCATAGGTTTTTGTTTTTTTTGCAAACTTCTTCAGAGGGGGTTTGCCATTGCTATTCTTTGAGGCTGAGAGAGTGTGATTTGCCCAAGGTGGGCTTCTGCATTCAAGAGGGGAATCAAACCCTGATCTCCAGAGCTATAGTCCAACACTCAAACCACTATACCATGCTGGCTCTCAAGACCCATTTATCTATTTGAATGCATATTAAATTAATTTAGGGCCTTTGCAGACTTCCAGAAATAGTGCAAATTGAGTCCACTTTAAGGGTTAGGGTTAGTGCTAGGGAATCATGGGAATTGTGTTGTTGTTTTTTCTGAGACATTGAGCCTTCTCTGTCAGAGAGCTCTGGTGCCACAATAAAATTCAGTTCCCATGATTCCCTAGCACTAACCCTAACCCTAAAAGTGGACTCAATTTGCACTATTTTTGGCAGTCTGCAACCCCCCATAGTTATTTGTTTAAATTAGTTTATTACATTAATAAAATCAATGGCACCATTTGCAATGTCTTTGCTTATGCCCCACAGGTTATGTCCAGACCTGCCTCTCATCGTCGGGCTATAAGAATGAAAAGAAGAAGCCAGGGCCCCGCTTGCCCTCCTCAGACCCGATCTACGTCCCAATCCATGAGGATTACAGTGACCCGGAGAGCCCCCAGTCCAGCCTCTCCTCCCACTACTTCCATGGCGAAGCCGCCGTCACCGAGAGCTACTCAATGGATGCCTTCTTCATCACTGACGGGCGTTCCCGACGCCGAAGCGATGGCCCACGGCGGGGGAGCCACCGCCACGCTTGCAACGAGTGTGGCAAGACCTACGCCACTTCGTCCAACCTCAGCCGGCACAAGCAGACCCACCGCAGCCTGGACAGCA